ATTAACAATTGATTTACTAAATATTTTAGTCAGAAACTTAAAATATTGAATATATGTATTTTGGCTACATTTATTAAGCAATCTAATAAAAAAGAATTAATTTGCCATGCAGTGGTAAGTGATAAAAATATGTAATACATGGTATAGGTACAAAGCTATATGGTACCATTAAAATGAAATTACCGTATATAAAGGAATGTTTAAAATATGAAGTTAAACACTTCAGGTCGATGGACTTAATTGCTCTTTTTCGAAGCAACATCAAAGGTGTCCCGGCGCAATTACTGGCTCCCCACCAGTGCGTTGCTGCTTACTCGGCTCCGCAGCGATTAAGCGATTCAATTTTCAAAGTGGCAAATTAATGAAGCCTCACCTCTTTTTCTCACTTCGGAAGTGTAGTCTAATCTTTTCTTTAAATATTATTATGTCTATTTTATAAAGATTATTTCTGATAAAATTGGTGCAATATCCTTCAACTATTTGATGTCATAATAAAGTAATGATTTATATATGAAACCGTATTATTAAATGCTGATTTCTGTTTAATGTGAAATCTTTATGAATTTATATATAAATATGTGAAAGGGTACGAGAATTATTTCCATCATATTAACGTTATATATGCTTTAATAAATATTATTACTGTACTTCTTTGTATTGTTAATAGAATTAATAGTGTCTTAGTAACTAGTACTAGTAGTACTCTCTAATGAATTAATAGAAAATTTAAACATATTATATTTTAGTAGTAACTTTCTATCGACTTTTGAAATAAAAGACGTACCTAATATTCTATCGTGGTTTGAGCGCTTTACATTATAACACAGTTATGGCATCTCTGTCTGGATAAATTGCTCAGATTGTGCGTTAATATAAGATCTATAGTCCACAATCTCAGTCTAAGATAAATTTGTAATTAAGGTTCCCTATTGAGTAAAGATATTGTCTACATTATTTCTATTAATCTTGTCTGTCTCATCATTTGACAGGCCCTAAACTTAAGAAAGACATTGTTTACTGTGACCCAAAAAGCATTAAGATGAAGGAATTTATTAATTCTGTTAAAAAATGAGGGTTGTGCTTGAATTTCTCAAAGGATTCTGATTAATCACAAGCAGACAGTTCCAAAATCAATTTAGAAGGTTTGCTGTAAATATAAATTAGATTTGTATTCCACTAAAGCAAAAAATGTTTTATAAATTTTACAAAAATATATAAAATACTTTTTGCTTTAGTGGACTTGGACCGAGTAATATCTTAGAACTAAAAGCGAAGTGAAAACAAAGTATTTATATATCCTCACTATTATGATAATTTAAGATCATCATAGTAAAATTAAGACTATTAACATTAAATTATTTCTAATATAATTTAATAAATAGCTTACCTGCTGAATTATTTCAGTATAATAAATTAATGAATATTATGTGTATAATGTATATAACGATTTGAAATGTTTGTAAGATTAAACTATTGAATATGGTGGCTTAACACATTCGTTTATAGAAATAGCAAATAATAATAATAATTCGTTTATAGAAATAGCAATAGTTAATGCCATATATTTGCCATTACTACTGTATTTTTTAACGTAGATGGTGCTTTCTTCGTTCGTGTTCGTTTCTGTCTATAGAGAATGGATCTAAAAAGTTGCCAGGCAAAAGTCATACTACTTTGTACTATTTCAGTAAATGACAATTATTTGTCATTGACATATTTTTTTATATTGTGCGACATAATATAACAATTCAGGATTACTAATTACATTGTCATCCAAAAATATTTGAAAGTGAACCCTGAAAGAATAGAAGTATTGATTACGATTGATTAAAGGCTTTCGTTAGACGTACTTATAAAGAAAATTCCTAACTTTTAATAAATATAGCTTATTACTATGGTGTAATGAACTCAATCATGGAAATTTAACCTTTTTCTCCTGATTTTCTTGGACCTATTAAAACCAGGAATGAAATATATTTATTACGAGTGATCTACGTCTATATGAAACATTACACCGACCCTAAATAAATGGGATAAGGAAGAAGCAGATAATATGTCTTTATGAAAGCTAAAAAGAGAATAAATAGCACCGTACACGTAACAACTGCACTATTATTATACAAAGAAAAAATGAAGTAATTTGCTCAAGTTTCAGTTCTTTTTTTATGTCTTCATAAATTCTATGAAACCCCCTCTTGCGATTTACATTGTCAATTTTTGTAATGAAACTCTTTTAACATTTAAATTGACTGGTTCTACCTCCAAGTAATTTGGTTCGTAGCTCTTCCCTAGAATGGTCCCTGCGGGCTGTAATAGCTTTCATAAAAGGAAATCGAGTTAAACAGGCGTGATTGACTTAATTGTGGCAAAGCTTTATTTCCTGAGATTAAAGAATTTTCTTTGGAGGTCAGCGTAACTAAATTATCCTTCGTTTGTCAGATAGCAAATTCCAAGGAGGAGTCACGTGATTCTACTCACTAACATAGTCCCTCCACTTCAAAATTAACACTACATTTTATTATTGTCTGTACGTGCGGATAGAAAGAAAAAAGTACATGGAATAGCACTTTAAGAATTTGTTCAATGAATATATTTCAGATTCAACACATTGTTTCATTCATTGAATCCTGAAATAGTAAAAAGTATATTATTATTACCTATTACGTGACAGTAAGTGAATCAATAGCCATATTTACGCGGACTTCAAAAGAAGGAGATTCTAAATATTTCTCTTTTGCAAGTCAAATTAATTTGGCAAGTTAATTTTGATGATTATTTTTGTTATACAGGTCTTATTCTTATTTATAGTTTATAATAATAATAATCTCAGGACAATTCACACAGAGCCATCTAGACCCAAGTAAAGCTAACTAAAGCTTGTGTTATGGGTACTAGATACATACCTACTCGAACCTGCAACCGTCGGAAGTAAGACGGTGCTAAATCGCTACACCATCGAGGCCGTCATTTTATAATGTATGTGGCATTCTTACAAGGATAAAAAACAATATATTACCTACATTATATATCCAGAATAGAATGTAAATAATTTATCCGTACGTCTGTACGGTTAATATGTGTAAATAATAATTTATAGCCTACAATAAAGTTATAGAGACTACTTCTACTTATGAAAATATTACGTGTAGGTTTATAAAGGCATTAACTTCATGATATATAAACTTTATAATTTTATGTTATGTTACCCCGCACTTTATTAAGCTTAATTTTAAGGCACTGGGACATAATATTTTAATGATTTATACATTGTTCCAATTATATGTAGGCATTAAATTCAGGTAATGATGACGTGTATTTAAATAGACATGATTGAACTATACCTGTACGTTATTTGGTACCATTATAACCTATTTCGCTTATCTGGAAATCTACTATTTGAAGGTACGTACGTAAAACAATTATGGGTACGAAGTCAAAATAGACATATACGTAGTCATGTGTTTTTTTTGGGTTGTTTGGGCTATTGTCAGGTGCTTGTAGCACCTGTAGCACTGCGACCTACATAGATCTATTGTGTTCGCCCATTTTCAGAGTGCGCTACCTAGACCCGTCAGGGACAAGAATTAAAGGATATTCTTAGGAGCTATTTTGGTTTTTATATCCTCGGGAAAGAGTGTAAACTTTCCAAAGGATATATTTCGTTTATGCATGAGTGGGCTACAACCACAAAGGATGTATGTTTGTGTGGTGTTTCCTCTTCAATTTGACATAATCTGCAGATTTTTGTTGTAGGCCTAGTTTTGCCATATATTTGCAGTGTCCTGTAACGGCCCTAGTCATCATGCATATGTAATTTTTATTTAATAGCAGTAGTACATTGGAGTATTTGTTCGAGTAGCCCGATATTAGGGCTTTTGAATGTACCAATCCTGGCACGCCACAGAAGGGTTCGGGGCCCAGTTGGGCGGCTTTTGCACCTAACTTTGCCAGATGGTCGGCATTTTCATTGCCTTCGATATTTGAGTGCCCGGGGACCAATCTCAGTATAATATTATTTCGGCATCCTACTTCATTTAGTAGCAACATACAGTTTCTATAAAGTTTAGATCGGATTTCGTACAAGTGAAGTGCTAGTAGAGCAGCTTAGTTAAGGCTAAGAATTACTTCCAGACATCTTGTTATGGCGTAAGTTTCAGTCTGAAAGATTGAGGCGTATTTTATTAAGCCTATACTATATAGTTGCAGATTTCGGGTTTTAGACCGCATATTCCACATCTTACATCATATTTACTTACTCCTATTTTGGACCCGTCTGTGAACCAAACTAGGTCTTGCTCTGTGTGAGTCCGTGTATGGTTATTTTGACATTCGTCTCTTCCACATATATTTCGATTTTGTAATATTGTACAAAGTTGTAGTCATGTAAGTAGTGAAGAGTTTGTATATATTATAATATATGCCATTACAAAAATTACTTACTTCTTACAAGATTTACTTCTCCATTCATAATATTTTTTATTTATTTACATAACTTCAATACACAAAAATAAAGTGTACAAATGGCAGACTAAAAACCTTACGGCACTTATCTACCAGTCAAGAGTGGTGCAAAGAAAGATTGTTGGAGGTGCCCTAATATAAATGACATATGTTAAAAAATATATAAGGCACTATATCTATAAAAAATTCTATAAAAAATAAAATCTGCATATCAAAAAATATATAAGGCACTATATCACTTTTAAAAAATTACCACTCATTCGGAATGCAGATTCATCACAAAAAATAATATCTTTTTAATAGATGCATATATAAATATACAGATCGTAATATATAAGTAATCAGCTATAGATTTAAAGTTTTTCTATAAAAACATTATTATCGTTAACGAATTCTTCAATATATAAGTACAGCCTTAACTATCAAGTAAATTTAAAGATGAAAAGTCAGGATATATGCCTTCTACATATGCTTGATATAATATGTAGAAAATAAAATAAAATACACACAAAATAATATATAATTTAATATATGGGCATTTATACACCTTTTAAAATACTAAAAAATAAAACAATACATTAATTAAATCGAATATCTTTCAAATTAAAATTATTTTTTATATTTATAAATTTAATTAAAAATTTCTCTTAGCTGTCGACGTAGAATTTTCCCTCTTGTATTCCTTGGAATTTCCTCCAGGAATATGACCCCACCCTTAAGCTGCATATACGGAGCAACCTGATAAGAAAATAAAGAAAAATTTACAAGAGTGTAATAGAAGCGCCCGAGGTTACTGATATATTATCGAAATGTCAATATTAGATATAACCAGTAACTAATTTAGAATATACTGTAGATATACTTATTTATACAACTTTATATTCCAGTTAATCAGTATAGCCATATCAAGGAGACGAAGTCACGGATAAAATTATGTAAAAATATCATCATTACTTACTTCGTTTAAAACTTTTTTATTAAATTTTTCTTTTTAATTTTTTGTTACTACCTTTCTTTTATTAGGTGTATTATGGACTATAAATGACTGCATTATGTATATCTATTTCTGTAATTATGTAGGTTATGTGTAGTTTAATATTGTTACTAATCCATATTTGCCAAACAAAGAGGCAATAAAATAAAACCATTTTTATGTAATAATTAAAATATTGTTTTTTACAATAATAAAATGTTTTTTACAAAAATAAATAAGAGGATATTTGTAAATCATCTCAATTATCGGCTTCGTGTGTCCTCTACCTCTTATAATGAGGACTGCCATCGGCATGGTCTTCTCACACTAGAAGATAGACGTAAAGTGTTGGATATGTGTCTACTCCACGATATCGTACGTGGTCGTTTTGACTGCGAGGATAGCTGCCGTGTCTTACCGTACACCGTCGCGCCGCACACGGCACAATACCTCGCCGTGCCTCAAAACTAGAATTCCTCGGTATACCAATATGCAATTTCACACAAAAGGCACATTGATCGAAAAAAAATTGTTAAATATATAAGTGACAGTTACACACGATTATTGTGATATATATATATTCAATATTATATATATTAAAGCGATATTTATTTAATTTTCCCCAACGAAATCGGATACTCTTTTTTAAATTCTATAGTCTAGTACGCTCGGTGCATGGGTGTTGAAAACCGCACGAAAATCCATTGAAGCTTTTTTTCTGAAAAATCCGTTAATAGATCAATTGGTCAATAACGCCTTATGCCCTATCCATCACATGCGCATCATTGTGTGTAGTATATATTATATGGAGATGTATAGCTTCCACACTCATTTATTCAATCATTTATTTAATTCATTTTTTTTTTTATGTGTTCAGTTTGATTCGTTGATTTCCTATTTTGTTATTTTGTTTTAGCGCAAGCCAATACTACATACTTTGTGTTAATTAATTATGCTTTAATTTTAAACATACTTTAATGTAAATAAATTGTAACGCTGTTGGCTATATCAATACAATGATTATTCTTACAGGCAATTATTGTTAGTTTATGTAGATATATATATTCAATATTATATATATGTGACTTAAATTGAATAATGAATATCTAAAAAAATACTCATTCTAGATTATACCTGGGTAGGTAGATATTTATTTACCTTGATTTTCCCCAAGCGAAATCGGATTACTCTTTTTTAAATTCTAATATTATAAAATTAATTATAGAAAATAAGGATAAGAAATATTATATTCTAGCTGTTTTACTCGGCTTTGCATGGGTGTTTCAAATCATTTTCACAATACCTAAATAAATCATACCTACACTTAAATCCTCCATAGAAATAACTCTGTAGATGTATGAAAACCGCACGAAAATCCATTGAGTAGCTTTTTTTAGACATTCGCGAAAATCCATAGTTAATCGACATGGGACTCGCTTTATAATTTTCTTATTTCTATGTAGATAAAATGAAAAATCATTTTACGTTAATAGATCAATTGGTCAAGTCTTTTTATGAATACTTATGTAAACGCTTCCTTTAAACTACATATAAAAAAGAATAGACATAATTGTTATGAATATGTACTATAAATTTAATTACAAGCCCTATCCATCACATGCCAGGCTTTAAAAAAGCGAATTTACATGAACGTATATACATAATATTATTATTTATTTTGTATAACTAACTGATGAAAATGTACTAATCTGTTTATATTACGGTCATAACGCGAGAGGGCTATTAAAGTCGGCGAGTTATACAAACCAAATCTTATTATAATTCGTATAAAGCGGTGTTTTTATATTCTCAGGTCCTTTAAGGTAAACAAAGGTACTTCTAAGTTTCAAAAAGTTTATATATCTGATATAGAATGTATAAATTGTTACAGAGTTTGTGATGAATGATTAATTAATTGATGAGTAGGTATTTCTAAATTATGCTTCGTAATAGAGCAATGTTAATACCAAATGTCATGATGATTAGTCGAATAGTTGAAATATCAAACAAATAAACTAATATTTTTTTCATCACATTGGAATGACACAACTCAAAAAAATAACACATGGCAAATAAGATGGCTTATCTAATGGTAAGAGCCATCTATCATCTACATACATACTACTACATAAATAAAAAATACCAGTGTATGTATGTAGATGATAAAGGTAATGATGTATTGTTTAACACCACGGATATCACACATTGTCATGTGATGACTGCAAATACATATTTTGCATGGGTTAGTACAAAAATTACATTCATGATACTGATTTGATATTATTATAATGATTTGTTCAATTATGAGCACCCTCATAAACCAAATAATTCTTACATATCAATTCTTTTAAAGCAAATACATTATTTATGTGGTCATCATAGAAATCTCTTTCTCTAATATTCAGTTGTATCCTGTTTATATTAATAGCTAGGTAGAAAATAGTAAATAGTCAAATAATTACCTCATTACCCACGTAGTCGACTAATTCCTTCTCAGTGACGGTCGTTCCATTTTGTTTCACGACGAACGCCGTGGGTTCCTCTCCGTAGTCAGGTACTGGCTTCCCTATTACTGCAGCTTCACGAACACCTGGATGAGCCAATAATATTGACTCCAATTCTAACGGAGCAACCTTCATATAAGAGAAAATATGTTTTAATAATAAACATTTCATTTGGGTTACCTTTAAAAATATATATTAGGCGTAGACAAATCTTCGAATATTATTACCTTATAGCCATCATAGACAATAATGTCCTTAAATCTATCCACGATATGGAAATATTTGTCGAGATCGTAATATCCTAAGTCACCAGTTTTGAAAAAGTTCTCTTCGTCTAGATACGTTGAAGGCTCAATGCCCATGTAGCCTTTCATAAGAACTGAGCCTGTTGTTCGGATCTCCCCACGCTGGTTTGGACCGAGAATCTTGTTCGTTTGTGGATCTACTACCTAAATAAATAAAAAAAAATAAGTAAAGTAACCTATGTTGGTTTCATTAATAAATTAAAGTAATAATTCTCTTTATATACCTTTATTATTAGGCCGGGAGATGCCATTCCGACGCTGCCAGGCTTTGGGCCTTTCGTACCCCAGGTTTCAGAGGTAGGCTCACCACATTCAGTCATGCCGTAGCCTTGTAAGATGCTTTGTAAGCTGGGAAACCTATACCGAAATAGAAAAAAAGGTATTTGCGTTGATATACATATTTGATTTAGAATTTATCGAGAGCAGGCGAAATTGAATTTCGGCTATCGAGAATATGTGTTACAAATTTTTTATGCACTAATTACAATTTTACTAGTATGTTTTAATATGTCTATGATGTTTGGGTTTGAAAAATATAGGGACTATTTATTTAAGTAAGTTATTAATAAATTCACACAATATTAGCAATATGCAAAAACTATACATTATTAATAAATTAGATACTGATATTAATTATAAATATTTTTATATCTTTTCTTCGTTTATCAATGCAGCTGAAAACTGAAACCTAAGCAGGTACATTACTAAATGATAGAAAGTGACTTACCTCTTTTTGACATTTTCGATTGTTTTGCTATGTAGCGGAGATGACCGCGAGTAAATTATTTTCAGAGATTCTAAATTGTACTTTTCCAAATTTTCTGCTTTTGAGCAAAATCCGACAAGTGACGGAACTAAGAATGCTACATCAACCTAAAAGAAATTATGTAACAATAGGTGAACATAATAATCAAAGAAATAGAAATCATAGATTTTGTGACAAATTACAAAAAATATCCGCTATTACATATATGTAATTTGTCTCAGAAGAGCTTTCTAAAGGCAAAGATACTTTCTATAAATATAGCGGTTAATTAATTATCAAGTACCAATTATAAAGTCATAATTTCTAGAAAATCATTAGCACGACGTAGGTATATATTACGGTAATTGTGAGAATCGTTGTAACATAAATGACATTCATACCTTGCATTCGTCGACACATTTTAGAAATACTGGCAGAGTAGGATCGTTAACGTATACCACTTTTTTACCGGCGGAAAGAAATTTGTACGTCATAAAAGTATCATAATTATGATACCACTCTCCAAAAACGAAAGCAGTGTGTAGCGAGGGATCATTGAAACTGGAACAAATATATTTTGGTAAATATTTATCACCTAATTTATATTTATTTACTGTTATCGGCACTATTGTCAGTAACATAATGTCAACAAATTTGATAATTATGGTTTTAGATATGGTTAGTTACTTAACTGAATTAGGTATTTGTTGGGACTCATAAAAATTGTAATATAAGAAATATTACTAAACAAAGTCGATTCAAGGTTATTGACACAGAATTATTAAATTGATTTCACGATTTTTGTGCCGTAATACAATATTAAACTATGTATTTCTAATAGTTCAATTAAGTTAAATTCCAAATGAATGAGAAATTGAGATATGAATAATTTGTCGCTCATACAATGTCATGAAGTTGTATTTTTTTTATAACACTGAACAATTTAAATAGAACCATCTAGTTCATCCAGGCACATAGGGCTATCGGTGTTACTACACAGCCACAGAAATATTTAAATTATTTTTTTTACTACATTATTCAGATAAAACAACTAGATCAGTATAAACAATCATACTTATGAAAATAAATGTTTGCATCGCAAGCAGTACGCTAAAATTATCGCTATAGCCATGTCGCTGTAGTAATTACCACATGACTGTAGGTACTTCATATATGTAAAGGGCAAGTCTCGAGTAACTTCACATAAAAAGGTCATATTATGCAACAAATATGTGTTGTCAACATGGAACTAAATCTATAGTAAGAAACGAAAAGATGAATAACTTACTCATTGGGTAAACTGTTGAGAATACAATTCAAATGTGTTAATTGAACTCCTTTTGGCATACCCGTAGTACCAGATGAGTACAGAATGAATGCAACATCAGTTTGACCTTGAACTATTGCTGGTGGCTCAAAGTCACTTACTTCAGCTTTAGATGTGATCATAGATTTAACAGAAATTAAATTGTCCACTGCTTCGTCCAATGTAATAAAGTATTTTATGCAATCAAATTCACTCAAAATATCTTTATAAGACTCCCAGAATAGGTTGCTACATATAAAATATTTTGGTTTTGTTATGCTCAATTTATGCTTTAGTATAGCTAAAAATATAAAGTAATATTACTTACAGAATATTATTAAAATATATCACACTATTTAGTAAATACTAAAAATGCCTATAGTTATGTTAAGTAGATGTGTATCATTTATAACAGCACAACTTATATATACCTAAATGTCTCTTAGTTAAATATTTTCTTTCATATCATAAATCTATATACATTTTCATCAAAATTAATCAAAATTAAACATTACCCTAAAAATTGTTATTATTACAGATAATATTTAAATATAATATTACTCTGTAACAGAACATTCATTATAATGTTTTATACAATATAAATTAGAAAAAAAAAATTACAAGATATTCTTACCTCTACCACTCTTTAAATCATATGGAGTGTAAGTTGCCCCCGTGAATATTATAGCAAGGACACTTGGTACGAATTCCAAGCGTTTTTCAGCCCCCACAGCAACAATGTCACCTTTCTTGACACCAATTGATGCTAGAGATACTGACAAATTAACTGCAAAATCAGTTAACTCCTTATACGTAAGCACTTCATGTGTATCTCCATTTTCCTAAAAAGGAAAACTTAAAATTAAAAAAGTATACAATATACAATGGAAATATGTTTTTATCTATTGAATAATATAAATAAATTAGAAACATTTTTCAAAAGTTATGATATAAGCTATGGAAGATTGAAGCCTACTGCACAGGAACATCTTTATGCTTAAAAGGAGTCTTCTACAATTGTATAGAATAACATATGAAATAAAGAATTTTGAATCTAATAATTACTTCATTATTATTATTTCTACATTTATCCAATTTCTAATTTTATTAATAAATAAATAAATAACCATTAAAACAAAAATTAAATAGTTAACAACATAGCAATATTATATTGTTAAAAACTTACCAGTGCTACTTCCTTGTTCATTAACCGTAACCGCTCCAATATATATTTACCGAAATTCAAATGGGCCGGTACTTCAACATTCTGATCACCGTAAATATAACGAGAGTCATAGAACATAGTGATAACGAGACACCTCACTCTATTAGTAGCAAAGAATGTAATGGATAGCGTTAACGCAGTGTAATGCTATTATATATCACTTCATGTGATGTGAGTTTTAATTTTATGCTATATTCTTGGAAGCACTGTGTCATTTTAGTGAAGCATTTCCTCGTGGAATAATACCTAGTTTATAAGAGCATTATCCTAATTTATCGAAAGTTATGTTTACTATACAATATGTATTTATACTTATTGGTAATTAATAATGGGCTATTGTATAAATAGTAAGTAATTACTTACTATATTTATAACTATCTGACAGTTGATTTGTGGAAAATTATGATTGATATACCCAATATAGTTAAAAATTAAAAACTTAAATACTTAAAAATAATATTAATAAAATTAAAAATGAAATAATAAATGTAATTAATATAATTTATAGTAAATTATATATTTAAAACAAGTAGGTATGTAGTTTATTTATATGACTAAAAAGTTAAACGCTTAGCAAATGTACTGGAAATCTGGATCTTAGAGCTGTTTCGACTGATTTACATGGCTGTCTCAAAAGAAACCTTATAACTGTTACGTAAAGTTTATTTTCATCATATTTCAATGTAATCGCATTCGTTGCATGCTCCAAAAGTCAAGCAACGTGTACTTTAAGGATTCTACTTAGAACTATTGTCTCGACAGTAAGCGATAAATTAAAGCACAAGGTGAATTCATGGCTTTCTTCTGTCTAATAATGCCATTTATTTTTATCCAGTATGTGTATAGATGCACCAATATTACAATATTGATCTTTGCGAACTGAAGCCATTACAAAGTTGTCATACTAATGTTACTATTATTATAAGTTATGAATGTGTGAGTTTGTTATTTGTAACTAACTTCACGTAACATAAATAACAATGTAGTAAACAATATAATAATATAGGCTACTTTTTCATTTAGTCGTACACCCTATTAAGATCATTATATATTCCCATTTTATTCTATTTTTCATAAATGTATTTTACTATTTATTTATGGTATCATTGTAAGTACCAATTACTCTTTTAGTGTTTTTTCTCTATAATTTGCTATTTAAACATTATTTATGATTATTTTTCTAGAAAACTAAATATTGAATAAAGCTGCCTTCATTATAGGCATCGTAAATTACCCTTTCTTCAGAAGTTGTGTACGAGTTGTTAATTTAAATGAATTCTAAAATCATTAGCATTGGTAGCATGGAATAATGAACTACACTACAAGGTACTTCCCAGTTTAACCTTTTATGAAATGTACTTAAAATTTTACATGACATTAATTGAAGAGACTATAGCTGCGCGATGATTTCACAAGCAAATCATACATTACGCTACAAATAAGTGCAAACAAATTTGGTAATGTAGACTTAACAGTTGTTCATTTGTGTACAGTTTCGTAAATAATATGACTATAGTTTGTTTCGCAAGAAATTATAATTAAATTAAATTAAAACGACATAAACGGTTTAACCAAGTACTTATTATTAAATTTGTAAAAGTTATATTAAGCAATCATGTAAAATTACAGGAAATTGAAGTATTATTTGCAATGAAAAGCTAATGACAAAATACTCAATTAACGATATGATTTCATATTGCAAGAATTGGTTTGAGGACTCAAAATTCCGAAGAAACAGAAACAACATGTATATAGATCATGAAGACTATGTATCTTATTACTGTGATAATTTCACTAAGAAGCTATAGTATAGTTTGATAAGTTCGCAACCGAGTAGACTACGACGATGCAATTTTCGATTGACGTGGGAATTAACCGGTTTCACAAATTGCCTCATATACTTAAGGTACTCATTGACAAATTCAGGCCTAGCATTCTTAACTACAACCTGTGTATAGAGAGGATCAGAAGGCTGTAAGTAATGTGGAGACTAATGAACCTATTGCTAGCAATGCATCATGGCAGGTCGACCTTCAGGTGGTTCCCCCTGGAAACCATCGTGAAAAATTTTTGGTGAATTTACCACGATGGGGTAACAGATCTGACGAGACAGAACTCGACCAAATCTCCAATGGTGCACCGACAGCCTATAACCGTGTGCGCAGGAGATCTCGTGATATGGCTATAAATTAGTACTAGTAGTGTACGTTCATCTTAGCCTAGTAATATTTAACAGATAAGTTTATCTGTTAAGAAATATTACTAAGCCATAAAACATAAGGTTAATACACTATGTATATTAGAAGACATTATAATTCAATATAATGTACATATATATATATATATATGTCTAAAGATAAAAAAAAGAACTTTAATGAACGTAAACAAGACTATTTAATAAATAATAGCCATCAATCGATACTTATTAATAATTCATCCAATGAACTTGGATAATTATTTTTTAATTAATATACCTTGTTAGTTGCTTGGATTTTCAAGGTAATAGAATTCGAGATAGTTTTTAAACTAAAAGTATAATTTGGTTTATAATATGAATTAATATACAGATAGGTGTAAATTAATGTCTTCTGCGCAATCTACATAGGATAAATTGAGAGTTAACAACTAAATTGAAGAAAAATAAATTGATATTCATTTGCAATCAAGCAGTATATGAGCATGCTAAACTTAGTTTTCATATGATATCATCACCAGATTAGACAATTATAGTAATTATATACATACACACATACATAGGTACACCACGCAAATTAATTGTTGACTACGATTTAGACTGCATTATACATTATAATTATGATTAATAATAGTTTCAATATGTTAGTGACAGAATGGACAACACAACTAGTAATTTACTAAATCAATATCTAAAGTACCTAGTAAATGGGGAGTGTGTATACGCTATAATCAGATATATATGCATACATATAGTATTATATGACTGAAATGGCAAAAAAGCAAGTCTTCCTCCTCCTTAAAAGCGACGATCATCCCATATATACACGAAGAATACCATAGACTTCACCTTGTGAGGTGGAAGCCATGGTTTGACGGCCTCGGTGGTCTACCGGTTGGTAGGCCGCTTCCGCATTCGATTCCTCGTGTGGTGCAAACATTTGTAACCATAAGTATTATTGTTTGTATCAGTGTGGGTGTTTTTTATGTACATTATGTTTGTATTTACAAAGAAATATATGTAAGTATTTATTTCACTTGTCTAATACCCATTACACAAGCTCTGTTTAACTGCATGACACAATGTCAATTGTCCTGGGGATATTACTACTATTATTATTATACCCCTCATGTGTCGCCGTTTCTGGGTACTATGGTGTTATATCTACGAACTATGTGAATGCCATTGAGCGAAAGAAAGCTATTGGTTATTACAATAGTACGCTAATATAGCCATATAATATCTACAGTTTTTGAAAAGAAATTAATATTTACAAAATCAATGGGTAATTATGGTACGATAAATATATCAAACTTGGAAATGTAAAAAATGAAATATAGCCATAAGGTATTTGGCAGTAGAAATAGATGAGACCGTAATATTATATTCATGAATAGACAAACTTTGTTCTAGAAATAAATAGAACTATGTTATCGCTGGTATTACAAATCTAGTAAGCCTTTGTTTCTTCGCTAAGTTACATCATATATATCGTACGTATAACAAAAACAAAACACGGTCTGAACTTCCCGTCCAAACACACATCATGGTAATTTAACGTATAGCCTATGAAATAAAATAGAAATAATCTATATTCAAATAAACTTAAATTTCAGGACTTCTACACAGACACACTTTTTAATGTACCAATCATTAGAAATGTATTTTCCTCCAAGAAGAACGAGCTGTGACGAATACTTTATTTACTTTTTGTTAATAATGAAAGTTGTATATCTTTACATTCTTCTAGACAAAATTTAAGTAGTCCAATAGTACCAAATAACAAGAATGCTTAATTGCATTCTTGTTATTTGGTACTATTGGATTATTGACTATTGATTTGCTATTATTGACTGTTGAGTCAAAATACTAAATATGTAATATATTAAAATGAATCAGTAGTAGTGATCAGATGCTTATCTTGCTAGACTTGGTAGACTTGCTGCAAGAATAACTAGTAAGAATATCACGTTCACATTAGTAATTACCTTCGTACAAGCCTAGATATAAGAGTTAAAATTTAATCTTACATTTTGTTTTGTTTACATGAAAATAACAGTACACCAGATTATCGTATGTCGCTTGTTAGAATACGTTATCAGGCTATTCACCGTGTCCCCCTTGAAATATTATCATAGTTTCATCAAGTAAATAAATGTACAAAATAAAGTAATACATTAGCATATATGCACAGTGTTTTATCACACATTCATACACATCACATAATTATTTACTTTAATGACAATTCTAAAATCGTTTGAGTCATTATTATTTTTTACTACTCTTTTTGTGGCTAGTTGCTACATGATTTTACAACTACGTATTAATTCGTCACGAATGTTTGAATAATCCTTATAAATTATTAAGATCAATTATTTTTTATCATTATTATCAGTAGAACTATATCGTTTCGGATTATTATTAGATAATTTTATAAGTTGTATTCCTTTACTAATGCTATGACTACCTTTGTTATACTACAGTGGCATACGGCCCATCTGATGGTAAACGGTTACTGTACTCTTCTAGTATTACATTTATCCTCAAAATGCCGTAGAAGACCACACAGATGAAGGCAATAATATCTAGAGACAGGTTCATCGAACTACATTAGCTAATCTGTATGATAACAATAGATTTTATCCTCCTTTTATAGAACTCTCCATAACCAAATTACCTACGTACCTCGTTATTATGACTGTGTATATACTGTCTACAGATTTTGATTATTATTTTTATAGATCAGTAAAGATTTGGAACGTGAACTCAGTAATTATTACGATTGAAGTAAGATTTAGGGTGTTCTTGTTTATTTGAGATGTTTCGATACGATGAGAGACAGGTGGAGGAGGTAGGCGGAGGCGTAACAACAGAGAGTTTATGGCTTCTAAAAGTTGTTTGGAATATTCAGCGTATCGATAACAGCTGTAGACTGGTAGATTATTATCGAGAATAGCAATAACGTATAACGTAATTGGATTTGGCAGGCGTGGTGATGTTAATATAAGTATACATCAGCCACATTTGGGCTAGTTATGTATTGCTATTGTTTTAGAAAACGTATTTTCTAAAACAATAGCAATACATAACTAGCCCAAATTAGCGTCATTACCTTACTTAGAAGTTTGGGGACATATAATAATATATAATAAGAGTTAATTCAATTTTAATCATAAATATATATATTACGGCGCTTATTATAACTAAAAAATCATATTTTTGCCTTCAACCTGAAATATATATATATATACCTACATATATTTTGTTATAATAGCAAAGACTAATTGTCAAATTATTAAAATTTACAAAATTTCTATAAGATTAACACGGGCTGCACATAATACTAAAATCAGGATCATTGTGGGAACAGTATTGACGAATGCTCTGGCATGCTTACTAGATCTACTCGTCGTGTAGCTAAATCACAGCCGGTTTCTTCTAAATGCCCGCTTTACCTCCACCATTACTGCTCTGATAGACCGCCTGATTTGAATCCCGTGTGTAGGCGTATAACAAACAGCAGACCAAATTACAAAAAAATGACACTAACGACGGTACGTCACTTTGGTCATGGTTTGGCCACGTTAACACTAATGCACATACGAAATATATAAAAATATCTAGTCTCAAGCTAAGCAGAATTTATGTTATGAGTCCTAAACAACAGAAATACTTAAATTTTAATATTAGTATTTTTTTTATAAATTCATACAGAATATCAATAAAAAAACAGATGAATACAAATATTTATATTTATGTGTTTTTACTCACAGGAATCATATCCTGTAACCATACAGAGCTACATCACCTGGGTGTGCTAAACGGCTAAGCCAAATACTTCAAAGCATTAACGGTATCGCATGTGAAATGTGGTAGATATACCACAATTCATTTGCAATAAACTAAAATGCGATCATATACATTCTATAATTTAATATAAAAGCCTATATCTCATTAAATATATCATTGATTTTTACATGGAAGACCAACATCAAATATCCTACTATTATAAACCTTCGCCTTTATAACATTACCTTATAGGATAAAATTAATTGAAATTCACAAGGCCGTATAATTACAATAGCAACAAAGTAATTACATCATATAGGAAGGCTACAAGAAATTATTAGCAATTTAATGCAATTTCACTTTAATAACTAGTCAATTTGTCTAAGTAGACATTGTAGTCACCGTGCAACGGTGTTAAAAACAGCCAAGTGTGTGTTGGATAATAATACCTACGTATTTTATTGTTGCTTTAGGTTATTAAGTTTAATTTGATTGTATATTTATAAGATATTTTCTAATAAACTATACATCTATACATATAAATATAATTGGAGTGTCTGTTTGTAATATTGAAATAACCGTTTTTTACTACATGCATATATGAATATAAATACGGTACATACACCAAAATAAGATTTTTTACAATTTTTGTCTGTCTTACAGTTTATTTCGGGTAATTTCTGAAATGGCCGGACCGATTTTGACGGAACTTTTTTTTGGCAGGTAGCTGATGTAATAAGGAGTAACTTAGGCTACTTTTATTTTAGAAAAACAAAAGTTAAATTCCACGCGGACGAAGTCGCGGGAACAGCTAGTCTAATATATTTTATTTATATGAAAAAGTAAGAAGATTCATTTAATAATTAAATAATTTAATTATGCACAATACAATTTAATATTAATGCACAATACAATTAAACCTTTATTCAAATAACCAATTTGTGAATCTACTGTCAAAGTTTTCTAACTATGTCGGTTATTCCGCTGAATTTTAGAAAAACGTTACTTGAACGTAATTGAATAACGATTATTTGAATAATGGTTTAATTGTATTGTGCATATCTGATAAATTCTACAAATTAACAGCACAGAAATTATACCTATTAAAACTTAAAAAATCTATTCACAATAAAAATTATTGAAAGAATGAATATGATAACAGATGTTTATCGCTCACTAGGTTTAAACTGTTTGACTACGGGCTCCTAAAAGTTACTATAATATATGGATATGCGAGGGATTGGTCATTTTATATTCAATATAGATATTAAGTATACTATAGCCGGTAATTGTACCATTGGAAAAGATTGCCACCTTCGTTCTATTCCACTGTGAATTCACTAGCATAAAACTCGAATGTATTAAATTACTTAGTAAGAATATCGATTTGTTGGAACAGTTAAGGCCAATGTACTTTGTTGCCATACCGATTGAGATGCAAGTATCTACTTTTCACACATTGTTTCATCTTTAGCTTTTAATTAGATAGAAAACTGAGAAACTACTTTACTATTCAACATAATGAAAATCGTAACATTTATAAACACCTAATTTATTTTGAACTAGGCTCGCGTGTGACATCATTTGCCTACCATTTCATTTGCTAAGATTTAAGAATATATTCCCACGTAATTTAATATTATGAAGCGAGCTCTTTTTTTATACTAAGTACATATATTTTTATTCTAGTAGATATAGTATAGTCTAATAAATGACCCTACATGATGTATACTAAAATTTCTTCGTGGGAATGGAATATTTATACATTTTAATTCAAGAATATATTATTTGAATCTAGAATATTATATATTGATCGAACATAGTTTTTTCATTTTCTTCTTCCATTTAAATCGGAGCGCCTGGAATCCATATAGGATGCAAAGCGTAGACGCTTATAAAAATACTTTTGTTTTAGTTACCTGCAACCGTCATTGAAATTTATAGGTTTTGGGTTTTTAAAACTTTGGAAACCAACCAGCCTTACGAATGTTAAGTTATTGTATATGCTATTGTAATCTCTCTCTCTTTAGAACTACAAGTCTCAAATTCGTAATAAGTAAAGACACTTAACCTAAAACATTTTGCCTACAAAGTTTCCAGATTAAAAAAACCCCTATAAGGGTATATTTCCTAGTAGCCCTCCGCTTTGCAAAAAGCCAGCGCAAACACTAGTAGTTATCTTTTAGCTCTTAAAATCAGTTGTTGGTAAAGGCTAGGAAAGTAAATTTGCAGGCGGTAATCGATGTACCGATAAATTCTACATCTATTATGTAAAGAATTATATTTTATACTAGCTGCTCCCGCGACTTCGTCCGCGTAGAATTTAAAAAATAGTTAATTAGAGAATTTTTCTAAAATATAATATAACCTTTAGCCTAATGTAATACATTCTTACCTTTAAAATCGGTCCAGCCATTTCAGTGATTAGTCGGAATAAACAGACAGACAGACAGAAATTGTAAAAAAAATATTTTGAAATATTTTTATACTTATAAGCATATGCATATAGTAAAAAATGGTTATTTTAATATTAGAAACAGACACTCCAAATTTATTTATATGTATAGATAAGGCTAATTGCAGCACCCATTATAGTCAGAATACGAATCCATAAAACATAATTATTACCTATTAATTATTATATTATTTGATTAGTTTTAACATTCTAAATGTACAATAGCGTGTCTTTTTATCTGCTTATATGACTGTGTCAATTTTAATCAAATTTAATAGGTACAGCTTAAATACATTCTTGTATGTCTTGCAACTTTACAAATCAACCTGTTTTTCTATCTGCGTTTTTAAGAACCTAACAACTATAAAGTACTTTTAATAAATCTCATCAGTTCTAATTTAAAATTAAGCAGCAAAGATAGGCAATTAATAAAACAATTAAAATTTTAAGCATCAATTTATTTCAATTTACACATTTTATTTGGCAGTTTCATTTTGTAGCAGTTAGATAAATTATACTATTACAAAAGTCTGTTTACTCAAAGGTATCGACGGTAATTACTAAGATCTAATATTTACAGCAAAATAAAATTAAGTAACAGTTCAATAAACAATTATTTGAGTTTACAATTGTCAATGAAAAATAATCAGAAATATCTAGGTACTAAAGCACAGAAAGTTGGTTTACGTATTTTATACATTAGTGTATAAAAATACGTTCATCTAATAGTTTGAAATACGTATAATACCTACACAAATATCGTGTTGGACATGTAAGTATAGCTATATAATATAGCTATATCTATATAAGTAAGTATACCAAATATTAACATTCTAATTAGGCAACTTTTTACAAAATCGATGTAGTAGAAAATTGGTATACAAATATCGTTTCGCTAAGAATACAAATTAATAGACCGAATAAATAAATACAAATAAATTACAAGTAATGTTTATGACATACAATATTTACAAGTAATGTTTTTAAAATGATTTCCTTCATTTCGAATATCTGCTAGTATATTCGACGATAATAGTTATCGTCGAATATGTAAGGAATGACAAATCAATGTCAATCATATTTAAAAAAGGAACTTTTTTGTTATGAAAACAAAATCACAGATTCATTTATATAAAACAATTATTGATTATCACGAATACAAATAAAGTCTTATTAATAATGAGTAACAGAAGAAAAACGTTATTAATGGATTCGTTTTTTGTACATTTGCTGAACTATTGTCATCCTCGTAACCTGTAACAAAGAGTATTTTAATAAGTAACATCTTGAATACCTCAGCTGCTCTACGCTGTTTAATATTAAAGCACTTTATAAGCAGGTTTACGCTGCTTCAAATAAACTATTGTAGTTCATGAATATTAAACCATTTATTATAGCATCGCGATGCGGTTCTATAAGTTTATTGTTATGCTAACAACTTAAAGAAAAGAGCATCAAAAACAAGTTATATTTTAAGAGCTCACCATATCTAAACCCTGTAATTATATGATAACACCAACAATAATCTGATCGAACTAAATAATAATAATTAAATTGAATATATGCAAGAACTGCCGATTACCGTATTAAATTTTAACATTGTCTTTCACCCATAGATACACTTAAAGTGATGCTATTGACACAGATAATCAATGTATTCCGAAAGTGTAGAGTGCGGATTAAATGAACTACTAAGGTATCAGTATAGTATAGTAACAGACTAAGAATAATTCACTAAGAAAGACTATTCAAGGTAGAAGGATGTTGTTCATAGGGTGAACGTGATACATATATACGTGAGATATAATAATCTTAATATGGAAAATTACATGTGTCGAGCACCAGACCTATCATGGAGTATTTGAATCCTATTTATAAAGAAAGAAAGGGATAAGAGATATAAGATAAGAGAAGAAAGCTTAAGAATTTCTCATCAAGTTTTTTTAAATCACGGAAAATAAATGTCACCTACATCACGCTAGACATCACGTTATCATATCAAGACTGTAATGTAACTATGTGTTGGCTTTACTGTACATCCTGTATATCAAGAAGACTGTGAATGTACACTGACATTCATGCCTGTAGCATATGTTAGACTATATCTTAGAAAATTGATACCCAAATCAATTATCTACAATTTTAATTGTTATATGTAATATCCATATACAAACTGTTTATTACTGTTATATTAGATACTACATTATTTTAATTTTTGTGGCCTTGTTCAAAAGTAAAACAACTGTCTAATTATAGTATTTTTGTGCGTTTGGTGGGTTTTATTATAATTATTATATAATTCATTAATAATGAAATACATAGAGGTGTCCCCTCAATTTCATAATTATCTACACGAATTTCTATGAAAATGTCTACGTTTAAAATGTACAGAATACTTGCTATTCAAATAAAATAATAATGATGCATGGTAACATATATGTTATTATCAGTGTCTATAGGTTAAATGTCCTATTCAAATTTGTTGTAACAGGCTAATCACAAATGTTACTATATTCTAAGTTTGTATTTATGTTTATACATAGTTCTGTTCCTATACAATTTTATTTTAAATCTACTTCTTTATAATACTTGAAATAAATTTCCGGTCTCCGAATATTTTTCTTGTATTATTTACATATGTAAATAAAATTACTACAAAATTCATGAAGCGACACCTCAATATATATATTAATTACTGTCCCATATATCCATATATGCCTTATGTTGTGCATTGTATTATTATAGCTTGATTTTTGTAGTTCCTACTGAAGTCAATCTTATTAGAAATATTGGCCAATATACACGTTATTTGTAGTTGTGAAATATTTATATTTATATTTTATAACTTCTATATACCTTGAAGAGATATGAACGGCCTTCATTTTTCATGAAGTTTCTCTATTGAAAAATTAACAGCCATCATATATCTCCAAGGTGGCCATATATAAAAGTCGAGATATGGAAATGATATAACTATTGAAACCCTGAAACCGTGCGATTAGTGGATTATGAGTGATCGAGAGTTCTGCCTATAAACTGGTAAACTTCAAAGCACTCAAAACCCTTGTAACTTGGATTAACTTGTTACAACCATAACCGACGGTTTTGGGTGTTCATGCTAAGATTATTAACAATCTTAGAAGAGCATGGGAATGCTTAGAAAGCTTGCAAACTATGTATGTAAGGGCCACCATGCTCTTTATATTATTGAATAGTTTATATAGGCACAATGATCTTAATAGATATTAATATTGTTTTATATTTGTGTGAACGGATTGCGAGTTTATTGTAACTGGAACTTTTAATGTTGACAAACAAAAATCATTAGATATTTTGTCACTCATAATATATTACTCTTCTTAAAACCTACGTTTTACATCCTTTATTGGTACGAAGATATTTATAAGATATCACAAATTTGAACACAAGACCATACAAGATTACCTTAAAGAGCACCACAATGCACAATCTAATAGGTTAGTGATTTGCTTGTTTTGGTTTGGTTACTTTATGGACGAAATAGGCAATAGACAAGCAAGGCACCATCACATATAAAGTTTTGTATTACAGAAATTCAATGTCACTAACATTGAGTTTGGAACAGACGATCAAGCATTTATTGAGATAGTTTCATCGGATAAACTTTGAACTCTCAGCGTGCGTTCATGCCACTGTATTGCTTATTTCTTATCGTATGTCTTGTTGTTTTTTTATATTACTACAAAATATAAATACAACGTCGGTCATATAAATGTCAAGCGTAGACATGCATTTTCGATTAAGATTATAGACAATATTTCATTGGTTGCGTGTGTATTGGCAAAATAATAATAGAAGTAGGCTACATAATTCTATAACTACTAATATCATGAAGAGATACATATATAATATTAAGAAGAAAGATGTGTATTCTCTGGTACTAGTAATCAGATTTAGAAAATCATTTTTGTGTTGGATAGCATACATCAAGGGGGCAACTATATCAGACTTTGACTATTAGGAATAAAGCATCAATGAAAGCTGTTGCAAAAAGGGGCATTGTGTAACAGAGATAAGTTGTGCGGAAAAGCTAATTAATTATAATAACACTATTCTGGAGAAACAAAACAAAGATAAAACATTAACAAACATATTTCCATCGCATTTGGCTGCACAATACATAATGTAGCATTTTATATAAATATATTTAAAAATTTTAAATAGATATTCTCAAGATGAAATTTCACAATTAGAGCTATTGTCGAATATTCTAATTAAAGTGAAAATTACGAAAACATGCTAGAGCCAATGTAAGAGTCACACGAGGTATAAATTTCAATGTTTTTTCGGAACTTTTTGTGTCAATCGAATACTAACTTCAAACTACTCAGATCTTTTCGAATTATATGGTAAATTATTGATATACAAAGCTTTCGAATAATAAATTTAATCAATATTATTAATGACTCTCTGTAGTACTCTGTGCTGACAACAATCGCGTGTGATTAATGAATTTTCCTTACTGATATATTACTAGTATCTTTACATGTATACAATATAGTTTTGTATCTTTATTTGATATAATGAATATTATTTATGAACTAAATTTACAATATCAATATTTACCGAAAGTATTTCTTTGTTCGATGTATGCCCCTCCCTGGAAATTCGAACTGATTGCTTCATTTGCTTGTGTGATCTGATGTTGACCTGTATGATCAAAATGTTAATTATGTAATTTTTCTTCACATTGTCACAACTTAAAAGAAACTTATAAATAACAATAATTTAATTGAAAGCAACAGGTGATTGTTTTATATTTACATAGTACAGTAACATTTTGAGCATAACAGAATTTTGTGTCTTATAAATATTATCTAGTTTCTTAATATATAATAAAATAAAAAAGGAAGCATATCTATTAATTCATAAAGAATTAATTTTGTAGTAATTAGTAGTTTTACGTGAAGCAAGAAATAAATAAAGTGAAAATACCTTTTTTCTTAATTGTCTGATTATCTAGTACTGGTTTTGGTGTAGTCGTAAATGCCGATGGCGGTGCTGGTATTTCTGTAATAGCAAGTAATTTATGTAACTAGAAATAAGTTTCATTCTCACAAACTAAATATTATTAAAACCTAAAACCAAGTGAGGTTTTTTTTTGTGTAACTCGGACTATAAGTCGCCTAGTTGCTTACAAACACCAAGGACATTCCGTGATTGTAACATGACACAATACCATTCCCATTCCAGAGATTTAAATTAAAACTTTTATTAAATTTTTTTATTAAAACTGATAAATTACTAATATTTAGATATAAGTATCGGTATTATACATATATTTAATGTTTGTTATATATAACAGATTTTAAAATGCGATAACTTTTAACCTAAAAGATATTTGAATAAGTTGATAAACACAACCTCTAATAATTTTAGATCATAGTACAATATTAACTTTAAAAATATTACCATCCAATTTAATAATTCCGTCTGTCTCTCCAAGGGAATTTTTTGCTATGCATTTGTAAAATCCGAAGTCCTCCTTTGTGATGTTCCGTATCTTGAGCATCATGAACTTGTTGTAGCCGCTGTCCATTGGGAACGCTTCATATTTACCACCTACAATTTCCATTTCTACTTAAATATAAAAACTGTTTTTGTTACTGCTATTATTGTACTTGTAATTCATCACTTGCTTTTTTCAAAGATTTTTCGGATGTGACTCATAAGTCACTTTAAAACTCGAATGTGTTGATCATCGTCATTTCAGCCTGGAAGACTACTGACAAAGGCATCCAACGCCTTCCAGGGATTTTGACTTGATCCTCGGTCCATCCGAATGTGTTAATATAAGACAATGTTTATGTATGTAGCTTGTTTAATTCAAATATAATGAGTAACATTAACACGTATTTCCATACTTAAGGATTTATAACATTTGGTATTTTGTAAATGGAAGGACACACGCGTTAACGGTCCACCGGATAGTAAGTAATAATTGTCGTCTATATATATGTCTGTATGTACATGAACAGGGGTACGGATATCATGTCATTATATAACGGCATCAGTCATGCGTAGCCATTTCAAAGGACTAACATGTCATTGCAATTTTGCTGATTCTGACCCTTAAATCAAAAGATATCTTACAAAGCAAGTTGCTTGACGATTGAAATGTGTGAGACATAGGTTGAAGACAGAGTAAGGTTTATATGTCTAATACATACGTATTTTAGTATAGAACAAGACGAGAAATTCAAAGATTTGGAATGGATTCCTGCGAAGCCGGGACGGGACGCTAGTGTTGCTATGCTATATATAATGTATCTCCTTGAACAATCCGCACAACGCCATATAATCCCAGCTAAGTAGAGCCTATGTTAATGGTTCTAGACAACTGATATAAATACTTAGACATTTTTTTAAATACATACTTCTATAATATACATAGAAAATATCCAGACTGATACGAACAATCATAATCACGAATACAAATTGTTTATACTATGTGAGGAATCGAACCCGCAACCATCGGAAGTAAAGCTAGACCATCGAGGCCGTCAATTATGTATGACTACTAACTTACATAATCATTATATTTTACTTGCATGTATACGCATACTAAGACTTTACTTTTGAGATAAGTACATCAACAAAGCCTTGTTGATTCCATATAAACTTGTTTAAATGAAACGTGAAGGTTTTTATTACAGAACAATATCCTGTATTCTCGCAACATAGAGGACATTTGAATTGAATGGACGAACTATTTTCATTATGAAGCTATAAATCAGTGATGCTATCGACTTCCAACTTGACTGGAACACATGTTATTTACTCAACTAGTTGATATTAAATAGTGTTATGTATATTATTCAGTACCTGGATGTAGGTACTTTGTAAATATGACTTATTGGTGCTTCATTAATAATATTTGTTGAATGATTTGATTGATGATGATAATTGATTTACTCAATGTATTTAGGTATCGAAAAAATGTGTGGGTTGTAACGTTTTTTATGAATATGTATGCGAAGGTACCAAAAACGTGAAAGAAACATACAATTATGGACATTTATTTTAACAATGTCCACTAATAAATATTTCAATGATTACATATAATGTTGTATGTTTAAATGTGTGTTTATTTTATATTCCTATTATTTGATACATAGGTAATTATATAATTGATTGAAAGGTATTGCGTAGGCCTATTCCTACATTACTATTTTTGTATCGACTTATCCGTAAATATTCTTCAGTGTGGCGTATGTTGTTTTCTATAAATTATTATATTGAAATGTTGAACTTGAAATTTATACTACACTTGCCTATCTATAGTATGTAAATATTATACATTATCATACATTATCGTAATTATTCTATATTATCAGTTTGTGATCATGAGTCTTGCTGGAATTGCCAATGTGTAATAAAGAACTAACAAAGAGCAAAGATTTATCACTGTACGAGAGCAATATTCGTTATAGTACAATAGCAAAATGACGCATTCATATATGTATATTTAACAGACAGATTAGAGCACGTAAATTTCCTGTCCTTTATAATAGATTTATGTATATAATCTCGGAAAGGCTCTAATGATTTGTTAACTAAATGTTATTGAAGTAAACATTTTCATAATGTTTACTTCAGTAACATTTAGTTTCCAGTTTATTTATAGAAAATTCTCCATAAATGTGCAATTTAAATAACAATGAATAATATTAAATAATGTACGTAGTAAAATTTATATTAAATTCTAAAGAAACTGCCATTTTTATTAGTTTGTAATAATTGATTTTACCCGAATTATATCTATTATAATTGACATTTCGTAAACTAATAAATATAAATTTTATGATGAAAATCTCACCGGAAATTATCATATCTCCTCGGTCTGTAGTCCAATAGTTGATAGAAGAAGGAAAAGCTTCGGTATGACACTCCAATGTTACGTCTTGTCCTATATAGGCTCCTTCTAATTGATTTGGAATTGACAGCATCGGTGGAACTATTAGAGAAATAATATTGTCAATAGAAAACATATTGTATCCAATAGATCTCGTAAACCAAAATATAGTTATATAAATATAATTTTAACATGTTACATCTTAAAATTACCTTTAATATGATATGCTATTGAATATATTATTGAACGTAGGTTCTATTTTGAATTTTTATGAACATCTTATAAGTTATAATAAAAATAATGTTGACAGATTATGTTGGCTTCTCTGTACAGATTTCTATCTAAACATTACCAACCACATAATACAGAATTTTTCTTGAGACGACTATCAGATAAAACCTAATTTTGGAAAGCATACCAAATAAATAAACGATTATTAAAATATGCTACATACATATCAATAAGTATAAAGTTTCCCTATATTAGTCATTAAATCCTAAATAGTTATAGGTATTATTTTATACAAACGTAAATTAAATGAACAGGAAAAGTGAATAAATAAGTTGTTTCTTGTTATGCATTGTAGTATAGATCAAACTTAATCTCAGTCTTCCTCATACAATATCTGAGATCCTAGCCAGCATTGCATTTAGTAGTTAAATTAGGTATTATATTCATATGAATAAATTAATTCTAGATGTCTGTTTTTATTAACGCAAGCCCACCAATTAGTTGTATGTACATTACACCACTGTAATTATGTAGTTACTCACACTGAACCATGAGCATGATCCGTTTACTAATCGATGGCGGAACACCGTTAGACGCTATACACAGGTATGCTCCCATGTGTAAACGGGACACCTTCGTTATAGTCAAGGTTTCACCATCCACTACGCTCACTGTTAAAACAAACAAATTGTATGTATTGTTTTCACACCACATTGTTAATATTTAATTAAATTAATGCAACTACTATATAAATAATATAAATAAATATAGTTTCACGACTGTTACCCCAGATGAGGAAGTAAGAAGCATTGTCACGGTGAAAGCAAACTCTTAAACTGCGCACATTTCTCTGCGTACACTTGAAGTAATGTTTGATTTGTTGTCGGTTGTTCTTTCATGGGAAAGTCCGTCAGGAACGCAAATTGATACACGTAGTTTTCTCGGTGTCGGTTTAATTCACGCGCTTAGCAGATTGTTACCTCGAGGTAATAATGATAATCATGATGCTGTGAATGATTTTAATTATCATTCTTATTATAGCTTTCGGGAAATGACTATGTTTAGAACTGGATGATAAAGGACAATATGAATGATAATAATGGTCACAGCAACCAAAATCGTGTAAAATGTCTCTCAATACGTTATCTACGAATATATCTTTAATAACTCTGCAGGAGGTACATGTCTGTACTGTACACTATCTTTTTTTAAATTATACTTCACTTTATACCACTAAAGTAAAAAGGGAATGTGCCATAATAAAACTTGCATCCCTTTTAGTTAACATTTTATTTTGAGAAATATAAAAGGAGTAGTAAAGGAGGAGTATAACATGTCAGGAGTATACCGTATAACTTTACAAGAAACTCCTTTATTCAGAGAGGTTCTCCTGAATTAATAGAAGTTATGTAGTATGAATATATTTAACAAAAAAACCTGTATATTTTGGTTCCTTGTTGCAATCAGTACACGTGATACAAAAAGAAAAATAGTTTGAGCGAGCCAGCTGAAAGTCAATCTGAATAAAATGCTGCTTGAATTCTAGCGCATGCAACTATTAGGTTTGATATAAAATTAGACCATATTAAACCTTTTTCTATTAAGATAAGGTTTACTTTAAAATGCCTCTCTTCGGGGTCAGCTTAGCTTTCGTACGAATGTGATATATTTTTTATACAATGTTCATGTCGTAGACGTAATAGTAATCGTCTGGTGTTAAGCTTCGTTAGCGTGATGTAGATCAAATATATATTTCAAAGAGTTTCTTTATGTTTTGGATAAATACTGAAGTTGTAACTTTTAAACTTGTTACTTACATATTGTATTTATGTGTATTGTTATTGTATTTTACATTGTCCTATTTATTTACTATGGACAGCACTTTAATAGCGTTTTTGGACTACTATACGAATACAGTGTACGAGCAAAATAAACAAGGATATACAAAACCACTTTTTTAATAAATTTTTTAATAGTAAATTTTGTTAATATATGTAAGTATATAGGTAATCGTATGATATATTCTTAATCTTAAAATAAATTGATAAAAGTTACAAACAAAGGCCACAGACATGTAAACTCACTTGATATATTAAATAGAGTATCTTATGAAAATATTCTATTTAATATATCAAAAACTACTGAGAACACATGTAGAGTATATAGGCACTTTTAAAAATTGTCATACGTGAAAATATATCATGTAAATTACTATTGCCAACTATTTATCAGATAAAGCGATAAATATACTATGTACCGCACGATATCAAATACAGTTTACTAATAAAAAAGTACATTTATAATTATTCAAAATTTTGCCGCGGAAAATATTAATCATACTCGCTGAGAAAGTAATCAACACGTTTTAATCAGTTTCGTTTTCCACATACTCGTAAATTTTATACTAATTGCATTCAATATTTTTAATTAGTTTATTTAAAATTATGCACGAGGAATTTATATTTTTTAACGTTTCATATTTAAGTTATGTCGCATTAAAATAGCTAAAGTTCTGTTGTATTGTCGTGATGTAAATTAAAGGAGTCATTGTATACTCCGTAAGACAGTGTAAACTAATATCAAAATGTCTGTCCAAAACAGACTTAGTTGGTATACATAAAGTGTAATTGACAATTTTGTTACTAACAAAATTTTGCGAAACAATTAAATGAACCTGTTACAAATATCATTTTAATAAAGAAATATATTCTATTATGTATAATAGTAATTTAATTAGTTAGTAAATATATACTACCTCTGCTTCTTAATCAATTTTGTATTCTATAACTAAAATAAACACGAAACTTTTCTTTTAATTTAGTTGCATGATGTAATTCATCAAGTATCAAAAGTAAAAAAAACAGGTACGTATTAATGTATACAAGAAATCTACAATGAATCCATATAGCTGCAGGTAGGGAAAGTTAAACACATAAAAATAAACCGGAACATTGTACAGCGTTAACTTCCGGTACTGTTACTAATACACCAAATAGATTTAACGTTCCGATAACTCATATGTTTGCTGATACAATATTCCGGTATGTATTTAATATGATACACATGCTCCGATATCCTGATAAAATATAATTACTTTTATGTGTGATCAATAAATACCTGATTCGCCGTTATAATTAAAATCTTGCCCGTCCTCCCGCCTCCACATTACATAAGGTTCCGGGTATCCAGATGCACGACACACCAAGGTTACATCCGAGCCTTCACGTACCACCATATCCGTTGACGTCATATTGTCGATGATTGATGGAGGTACTATACAAACCAATCAGGGCGGATAAGTAAATTATGATGTAGGTACCTTTTGTAAATTTACAATTTAAAGTCATTGAGTCTCCATATATAATACATGTACTAATTTATAAAAGAAATTCTCTGTAAACAGAAACAGAAAAAACAAAATATATTGGAATATATATAATGGAGAAATTCATATAAATATCGTTGCTATAAAAAATATTAGATCACTTTTGTACCAAATAGAATTCAGATCGATAGTGTTTTATACCAAACTGTTAAAGATTGATTTGAATGAAATTTTTAAATACTATCAAAAATAATTTTTTTTAATGAAATTCATGACTGTTAGCACTGCAATGAAATCCAATAGTGACTACGGGTGCAATGTTTGGTCTAGAACTTCACTTTAAGTTGAACCTGTATCTCATTTACATCAGCCATTCATAAATTATTGCCAATTAATTTATGAGTGGCTGATGTAAATGAGATACAGGTTCAACTTAAAGCGGAGTATAAATAAAAGCATTTATTTCAACTCGCCTACTACTTGTAAATATCCTTTTCTGGAGCGCATAGGATCTGTGTTCACTTGACACATGTACCAGCCGCGGTCCACCTCTTGCACGTTCTTGATATGAAGGTACCAGGAGCGATGGTCGTTGTACGACAGGCTGATACGCGGGTTCTGTGTTATTATATTATGGTGGATACTCAGAATTGTCTGTGTATCCATCCGCACCCAGGCCACCTATGAGAAATTATGTGTAATTATTTCATGACTTAATTTATTAGGAAACTACTTAGGTTGGATTGTACAAAGTTATTTGCGTGGGCCTATACCTATACGTGGTATAAATGTGTCAGTATATGTATAAAAAAAAATCTATTCTCAATATTTTTATTCCTTATGCTTATTTAAAGTAAATACATAGATAACTTACAAGATATGAATATAGACCTAATTTTATTGTTATTATTATTATTTCCCTACAAGTTAGGAAACTAAGAACCACATTCATAATATAGTCATAGTGTATTTAAAATTTAATACCTTGAAGCCTCTTAGGTTATCGACGACGCACGCTAATAAAGCGTCCCTGCCGATCGTAACTGTGACGTTTGGTATAGGTTCAGCAAACCTTGGGTACATAGATTCTGAAAAGAAATGTTTGTTTTATGCGGGCAACTTGTAAACATGTTTACCTACTGAAACTTTTAGATCGATCGGGCGGAGCCAACAAACATGTCATGGTGGGGTAATTTTTGGTGCCAGCGTGTCTAGTGCCGTCGGGAACAGTCACAGAGTATTGGCAGTGACTAGATTTACTGGTGGCGATTCCGACAAAGATACGCCAACAAACGACGGGCGTGATAAATGTCACTATCAACGAGAATTAGACATACGAGCACTTTCCCGCTTACAAAATAACTATAGGTAAAAATTGTATTTACAAATATTGCTATACCTAATACCTCTAAAAGTTTAAAAGTGATTGCTGTTAGTTGTACAAAAAAAAAGTATAATAATTCTAGAAATATTAACAAATTTTTAATACAATTATGAGAACAGAGTAAATTAAACATTCTATGTCTAGTGGAATACTTCCTGTATTCCAAGATGCTGATTTCTAAAGGCAAATATGTGACTTTTTATTACAATTATCTACATAAAACCAGCAGCCGAAATGTCAACGATATCTGTCGATAGTCTGCATCATCATAGAATATGATAAAGCAAGTTTCCGTTAGTAGTGAATATATAATAATTTGTTAATAAATGAACGCTTACCATCTGGAACTTCTATAGGTGCTACTGAGACTACATTTTGCCCACTGGTTAATTCACGACCTGAAATCAATATCTCCATTTTAGTAAATGTCATACTAAACTTTCGTAAATGTATTATTACTAAGTATAGCAGTATATTTTAAAGAAACAAATAATACCACACAAATTGGATAAATATAAGGAGTTTTAAAGAAATTCCATTCATACAGAAAATAATATCTATTATTATTTAACGATGATACATAATAGTAATGATAAATATTAAACTCCGAATTGTTTCTATCCGTTTTAGAATTTATAAAATTTAATATAGATCCTTTCAACCAAAATTAACCCGAGATCTGTCGCTCAGAGATTACAAAATAAAGATATATGATTTCGGTTTAATAAAAATAATATGGATGTAATATTATATTATGTCATATATCTATCTTATCCTATTATCTTTTATAAGGTACCACAAATTTATTTTAATTACTGTTACACCATTCCCAGGACAAATCGTGTTGACGGTTAACAAATTTAGAAGGTAAAAAAAATTAAAAGGGTTAACGTATGTTGTATACTGTTAATGTATCCCAAACGGCGAATGCACATTAATTGTCGCTGTCGTCCCTTCGCTACATTAACTAGGATAGGTTTTTGTCGAGAGAAGCGTATGCCATTACGTCTAGCGATGACAGGCTCTCTCCGCTTCTGCGACAGGATTGTTCCATTATCGGCCTGGAGTTATGAATAATTGACGCTCTCGACTACGCTCCGTGGATGCGGTGATGACGTATCAAATTATGGTGATAGCAGTGGCGTGCTCGCAGTTGGAAGCCATTTATTGCGACTGTCAAATGCGTGACGTTCAATTGGTAATATATCTATGGGTGAAGTACAGTGAATACTAGCTTATGTGTATAAATTCATCATTCGAGTTATCACGTTCAGTGGTAATTATGTATCTCGTAGTTTATTTCTTTAAAAAATATCTTTTAACCATTTAATTGGATATGTACGTTTCAATTATTATTTTATTATATTAAATTAATCAAACTTCTGTGTGTAAACGACTACTGAAAAATATAATATGCAGGATATAGATGTCTCAACCTCATAATTATTTTTAAATCAAAACCAATTTATAAAGAGAATATACTTTTTTTTATTCATTTGTAATAAATGATGCAATGATACTTATCCGATTTAAAAAAACTTTCATCTACAGACAGCTACGTTATCAGCAAGTACTATAGGTTCCATTTCACATGGGCAGCGCCGCCAGTTAAGTGTAGCTATTTAATATTTTAATGAATAATAGTTTTATTTAACAATAGTTATATGACATAGCTGAAAATCTGTTATAAAATAATGTTTTGCTCCTTGAGTGATTCTCCTCACTGATCTCCAAGCCAATTTGTATTGCTATGGCACGTACATGCAGGTTTACTCAAACTCTATTGCATTGTTTTAAATGTTCTATATTGTATACTACTTGTAATTAAGCCTATATTGTATAGGGTATATAAAAAACAAAGAGAATTATTTTATATTTATCTTATTTTCAATAGCAATATTCAATTTGTTAATATGCCACAGTAGAATTGTAATGATAATTCGTGGCTCGATGTAAAGGGATGCTCGCAACTTCCCAAGCTCTGTTGACACGGGGTCAGTTGCGAGGGTAAACACGCTTCTAGACCAATTGCCAACTTGTTCGTAAGTGGATTGAATTCTAGTAGCATTGAGGAGGGGCCCTATTATAGACAATTACATTGGAATACAACAATATTTAAAACACAATAAACACATTATAGATCACACAGATATCAACGATCTGACTATAAGTAATATTGAAGTGTGATCTATATCAACTTTTATTAACGACGTAATCATTTTAAATATCCTTGGATTTATAAATACCGTAAAAGATACGTTAAAAAATACATTATTATTTATATAAATATATATTAATAAATGTTATTTACATAATTCATTGGAACTATGTATTCGCATTTTCACATGTATATTTAACACACCTTCCTCTTGATTCAGTCTATTTATTTCTATATCTGAAAACTGGATTACAATCCGTTGCGCAATTAAAAAGATGTGAGCGGACAGACAGAGGCAGCGAGTTTGTTTTATATTATGTAAAGATGAATAATAATTATTTAAATTATATGAGGAAAGGACAATTCAGTTCTTGTTCCAATTTAGCAAGGTAGTAAAAATATTAAGTAAGTTTAACAAAGATAATTTAAATAAATTAAAGACGCGCTCTGCTATTACGGTGAATTGATTTATGAAAAAAGTTTTACAACCTTAAAACCAATTTAAGAAAAGTTTTGTTTTACGTGACGCGGGATAGCGGGAAATTTACTAAGTTTCGAATGTTATTTAAATGTTAACTTAAATAATATTAGACACAGTATAAAAGACACTTTAAACCGTCACAAAACTTGGTACCACCCGATTTAGCTTCACAACAAAAAGTCAGATATTGTGTAAACTGCAGGGATTGGATATCTCAACTCTGAATTGACAGTGAAGTTTACAATGACCTAATAAAATACAAACAATTATATTAATACGAGAAGCAAAAACTTTGTAAGTTGAATGGACAGAGGAGCATGACATTGTATGAGCACAAAAAATATTTTTGACAAAACTAAGTATAAACTACAAATATCTGTAAAGAGAAGGAGTGCAGATGTTAATATATTTTTTTAAATTATGTATAGGAAATAAATTAAATCATTAAAAAAACATTAGGCAGACTATCATGTATTTGAAACGGAATATGTATATTGTATTATGTATGTATGTACCTATGTACTATTTTGTTTATTATTAAAATATAATTCTATTGTATATAAATATATTTGTTATTTCTAGTTCAAATAATGTTTTTGTATTTTTTATTATAATCGACACTGGGCTACCACCAGTGTAATAAAAGTATCCTTGTAATGTGTATACAGGAATACATTGAAATCTTATGAATTAAAAAATTTGGTGAGCTCTAACATCGTCAGCAATCAAGAGAAGTAAAAATACAAAATACGAGTAGATATCGCTTTTACATATGTTTCAATATTGGTAATGTAAATTTACAAATTCTTGCTAGCTAAATAAAAAAGAATAATGTTATAAAGATATTCTTTGGTAGCTGGGTACGTCGTACGTACTCTCTGTCTTATCACGAAACCTGACCTACCTATATCGTACATAATACATCAATGACCTAGTCTGAAAATGAACCTAGGAAATTTCCTTATGTTTTGTATAGTTGAAATGGAAAATAAGCTATTTCGAAGGATTTACTGTAATGCTTATACATTCTCATATTGTATACATGCTATAGACATTTTTACTCTGATTAAAACACTTCTTACTTAGAAAGTTGCTTGGCAGCTGAAATGAATGAGATCGAGGTGACCATGCTTGCAGATCTGTACAATGTCTACCTCAGTGTATTAATATGAAATTATTACGGAATTTAGAAACAATAGTATTAAAATAGTTTCACATATATTAAGTCGCTAAGAAACACCTAATATAATAAAACAACTAACCACTATTGCAAAATATGGAAGATAGGATTAGCTTCATTGTAAATGCATTATAAAAGTACCTAAATGGTATTTCTACAATACAATTGGTGTACTATTAGTGAAAACTTTATATCTACTATGGTATTTTACGTTTATTGAATCATTAGACTATTATTGTGTACTATAACATGGTTACGTAAGTTATAAAATCACAATCAAATATCCATTATATGCTAACAACTCAGTGTAATATACACAAATTGTTTTTCTTTGTCATCACATGGTAGGTGTAAATGAAGGTGAAAATAAATTAAAACATTAAAAGTTAAATGGTGACTGGCCTTCTTATTTGTAATATTGTAAAATACATTACAATTAGTGATGCCAGTTTAATAACTACTGGCTTAAATTGTATAGTTAATTCTTACCAATATAGTTACGTCGCAGTAAAAAACTAAATTCATGATTTCATATTCTTTTCTATGTGTCCATAGTGTCCATACAAAATACTCAAAAAAGTACAATTCCATTATTAATCACAAAAAAAAAAATTCTATATTAGAGTTTTCGATTCGCAAGTTGACGTTAAATTACAACGCTTTTAATATGAATGAAATAATATAATCGAAATGAATACTCAAATCCGTTATATGTTTATACAAAGTATCATGTTTTTAATTTCAACAGTAATTATAAACTTCGAAAATTGGTATTCTAGAAATCCAATTTTTTATACCCACCATCTATATCGAGATCTATTAAAATATTTTTAGTGTTCAAGTGGATAGTTAGGAAAATTTGCAAATGTACACACTAACTTTGGTAATAACGCTGTTCTCATTTAAGTTCTATTTTTGTTAATCCTAGCTTAAATTATCAGACCAGCGTTTTTGTTAATCTACGTTTAAATTTGATATTTTTAACAGTTATTAAGAAGTACAATTATTGATTTTAATTTAAAATAAATAGTGCAATGAATAATTATTTGCTACCTTTAAAATATAATTATAATAATCCATCATGAATTTTAATTACAGTTTTGTACTCATGTCACTAAAAAGTCTACTATCTACAAATGTCTTTGTAAGATAACCATAACACAGGTATTATATATTCATTTTTATACATTTTACTGACAACCGAACTCTATACTGTTTATAAAAAATATATCATAGAGATACCATGCTATTTCTATAATATTATTTTTCACACATTTTTTTTATACTGCCTATATATTTATATTAGGTATAAATACCAATTTAGGCTAGTAGTTAACTATTCGGACTAAAATAACAGTCCGATTGTATTAATGTCAACTTAGTTATAATTTGCTGAATAAAATAAACAAAAAAACCATTTGTATTTATAATCTAAAAAAAAACAAAGATAACAAATCCAAAAATAAGAAACAAGTTTAGATGATAATCAATAAAATGCATTCTAGTTTCAATTATTAAATTAATTTAGTTTCACTATAACCTGTTTCTGATTCAAAATGAATATAAAAATTTACAAGTTTAAATTTAAATGAAACCTAACAATTTTATGGTTTCATATCAAAGTTTAACTCTGTATGCATCATTGTAATTAGCAAATTTATCATATTAGCATATTTAATAAGTAAATAATATGGGTTAAAGTATGAAATTGCCAATCTGTAGTAATAGATATTTTGAATTGACATAAAACCTTCATGATGTGATATTTTCGAGTGAAACTTTTTTCACTGGATACATAGGAGATTATTATTTTAATAAATGAGAAACATTCAATTTACGTCTTTCAGTTGTTTTTTATTTATTCAGCTTAGACGTGAAAGATGGATACTTCGAAAATCCGAGTCCTTTATTACAACGCGGAACTAACGCGGCAGAAACGGCTCGCAATATCAACGCTTGCGAGGAGACTGCTAATGAATGCATTGCAATGCATGCATGCACCATGCATTTTTGGTTCAAACACTTTCGCAATGGAAACTTTGACTTTAAGAATGAACCACGTGGAAGACCGCCAACACAGGTGAATAACGCTGAAATGAAGAAGATGGTGGAAGCCGATCTGAGTCAAACTATCCAGGAATTAGCGGCAAGGTTTAACGTTACCTTATCTACAATATCGATTAATTGGCAATAAATAAATGTCTCATGATGTGACTGATATGCACAAAGAAATCCATGTTGAAATTTGTATTGCCTTGTTGAATAGGTACAGAAATGAAGGAATATTTTATCGAATTGTGACATATGAAGAAAATGGAATCTTTATGAAATCGTAAGCGAAAAACGCAATGGCTGACCCTAAGCCGAACGCCGCAACAGCGCCCTAAAGCAAAGCTTACCAATAAAAAAAGGAATTATTAATATTTTCTTAGATGTGGTCAAGCAATAATAGCAGAAGTTTACTGTGCCGAACTTCGAACAGTGATGACGAAACAGGCTGTGAAGCAGCCCCAACTCGTGAATTGATTTTCAATCTAGATCGCCCAGAGTTCTATCGTAAATGCATAAATGAACTTCCGATTAGACGGCGAAGTATAGATAATGAGGGTAAATATTTTGATTAAATACATATGTCGCATTTTAGGAACAATTGAGATTTTCGATTGATCTCATGAATCAGCAAAAATTCAAAAATGTTGAATATTTTTATTTTGTTTAATTACTTAAATATATTTTTTTATGTATACTTATTACTTTACGTGCTTTGCCTCATTTCTAGTTTATATGTCAATTCGAAATAGAAGAAGAATAATAAGAATATCTTAGGACAATTCACACAGAATCATTTGGTCCTAAGTTACTCTTAGTTTGTATTACACAGCGGATATATATATTTCGTGTGTTTCATATGTAATATACATAGAAAACACCCAGACCGAAACTAACAATTATTTCATAACAATAATCATAAAATATAAGAACTAAGTTGCTATGCAAATCAACAAAATGAAATATAATACGATATAGACATTTTGCGTTGGAAATAACTGGAACTAAGCCCACATTGGTCGGGTCCTTATTAATTATATTTATTGCTTAGACAGAATACATCGATAACTGTCACGGTTGCCGGGAGACGGCGGTGGCGGATTTCCGCCGATGCGTCACGCTCTCGACCCCCGTCCGTTGTTTGTGATTCTTTCTTCTTCCCCTTGTTAACTGAATTATGCTACAGCAGTTTGGGAATCCTCTTAACTTGGTAATGCATTTGGGTTCGGAAAATGTATTAAAATATTGAAGTGTTTTTCACTTTTTTTTGAAAGATACAGTGGCAATGCGCGTCTCTAATATTGGTACTTAATGAGGACATTCCTAAAAAAATCTAAACGAAAACTCGCTGCTCTAACGCTATTAAAATAATAAAAAAATCTGTTTATTTTCACAAATAACTTTCTTAACTATGTATTTTGCCCAATTTAGTCTCATTGTGTACGGAAAGAATATTTAGGAGAAAACTAAAATCTTATATTAACGCGTTAATCCCTTATTCATAGTAATCGTTCGTTCATACTCCTAATATTCCTGCAGAAACTCGGATTCACGATTTTATTTTATATCGATCTAAATCTGGAATGAAAAAGCAACTCTCCCTCTCATATGCCTCCATTATAGTCAGATGGCTTTTTTTATATTAAAGAACAGTTGTTTAAATTAACAAAAATCTAACAGGTAAATTATCAAGTCTAAGCACGTACTAAGACATTAATCGTATTCAGAGTAAAATCAGTTTGTTTTCACACTGTCTCCTATATCGCTATGGTATACGATATTATTATTTTTATATGCAGAATGTACCTAGTTGAGTAATTTATAGCTCACCCACTACTAATTGCTTGTATTATTTATAAGATACAATCGATCGTGTGAATGTTCCCAACTACAGAATATTAGGAAAAATAGATAAACGTGTTTTAAAGTTATTACGAAACATATTATAATTAGTTACTTTCCATAGTTCATGGAATATATGTAATACTGTTGGGCTACCCGTCTTCACACCATCATCACATGCGTGCAATTATGACAGATTTCCTTATTTTCTACAATATAGTATATATTGTAGTATATTATAGTCCTTGTTAAGAATAATAATACTAATAATCTAGCTATATGTATATATGTAAAGTGTAGATTAAGTATTTTTTGAGTTATATAGATAATTATTTCTATATAGAATTACTTTAGATAATTTATAATTATTTACTGTATTTAATATTTAGTGTCGCGGTTACATGTCACACTCGTGCAATAGAATTATAGATTTGTTACCGTGTTTCGAAGAAAGCATCAAATCTTATACTACAATGAAATTAAATTCTATGCAATATACATTGAAGCTCCTACTTATTAATATAGATAAAATAATAATGTCTATATATATATTAGCACACCTACCAATGAATAAATTATTGTCCATTAAAGTCCTCAAAATTAAGTACTGATTGACGCATTGTTTGACCTATTAACTTAATTTCTTTCAGACAAAAGCTTAAATTAACACGTCGTTGGTTTAGTATTACATAATTTTGTATTGCTTTATATTTAACATATAAATTTTATTTGTGAAACTGAATTAAATATAGCACATAAATTCTACTATTGTATCAGATTTGGTTAACTAAAAGAGTACTTAAATGTATAATTTATTAATGTTATAACAAAGAAAACAAATTTCCAATTTCATATAAAAAGTTTTTACAAGTTGTCGAGGCACTCAATAAAAATGCTAATTGTACTATCAACTCACCTGTCGTACTGCACCAAGCGGTCAGGAACGCTATCCATATCACATAATATAAATGTATAAAAACAGTCATTTTGTCGTAATTACATTAGATGACAGTAGTTTTTTGTTTATTCCGGTTCACCTGTGAAATCGTGATCGAACGTATGACACTACGGGGATAGCGGGCGTGCGTCCCATCTCGGGGCGAGTTTCAGAGGCACTGCCGCGGGGCGCTACTCCGCACTCAGCCCACTCACCACTCCGCTACTAACTACCCCAGGCAGATAAACAAGGGCGAAGAAACCCAGAACAAGCAGACAAGCCGTCTCGCTAGTCTTTATTGCCGCGACTCAATACCGACATAATAAAATAAGACAAAAGACGAATAACTAAATAATGGCGCCCTTTGTAGAGAGACGCTCGGTCGCCGCTGAAATATTCGGAACAAACATCCGATAAATTGAACGTATGCAAATACAGGTATTTGGTTTATGTATGCATATTTCATAAATCTTTATTTTATACTGTTTCAAACCGTTTATACATATTTCATTGAAACATGGACAGCCATAGATAGGTAAATTTAATTTTTATGTAAACCTACCTACGTACGTTCAAGTAAATATGTTTCTATATTAAAGTTTATAAGAGCTCATTGCTAACTTATTAATTGCATTCCTTTACATGAATAGAATGTAAAATGAAAATTTGCATTTTTCCCTTTCCGGACATTAAACAAAAAACGAAAACTTGTAGCCTAGGGAAAAATATTTTCTCATGAATAAATAGAAATAATAGTGTGTAAAATTTAATTTTATATCTTGAGTAAATTTAATTAAGCATTTATATTGAAAGTTTTACATGTATTGGTGAGGTAATTTGCGAACACAATAGTAATTTGCGAAATGCAGACAACGTTCTATTGAAAACTCCCACTCATACCACTTTTTATTTTTCCAAATCCTTCTCTGTACAGGCTGTGTGCCTGTAGAGTGGACCTCACTGAAACCCTCCATACGTAATGTTGAATTCTCAGCCGTCTTTAATAACTTATTTAAATTTTACTTTCTCTCAGTTACTTATTACATTTAGTATAGTGAGTTATTTTATATCTTTGTATAATATTTATATGTATGTATATTATTTGAATATATATATTTGTATATATGTATTTATATTTAGTTGTATGTTTATAGTTCGTTTTAGCATTAGATTACTTATTAACCTAATTTCGGTGTTTTTATATTACAAACAAAGGATTAGATACACACCTCTGCCACAATAAAATTACTATTATTGCAATAAACAGATTCATATAGGAAGATTTCTTATTAAATCGTAGTATTCAAATTTACTGCATTGTTTTTTACTCCAGATACTGTTTGCGTTTTTTATTTTATACCGAAATCTTGTCATCAAATTCAAAACGCCACACATCTCACATTGATTTAGGTAAGTAATAATGTAACGTATAATCGTAGGTATTTGTTATATAATTTATTTACTAACATAATACGCACTATATCTGAATGAAATAAAGATGAAATATTTATTTCACTGTAGTAACTTTATTAAATATTTTAATTTTCCTATTTTTTCAATTAATTATAATAAGGAGCTTCTCCGTTGCCGTATTCGTTTGTTCATGTTACGTGTTCAGTTCATTAACCCCAAATTAAACTTAAATATGTATATATGTTTGCAGGTTATTTTTATTGGTATACATGTACCGAGGTAATGTTTTGTATAATATTCATCTAGACCAACCGACTAGTCTCAGATAGATCGAAGTAGACTTTGAAAGAAAAAGACCTCTACTACTTGAATACCTAGTCTCGCCTATTGTATACTATACAGCCAACTAACAGCTTACTTTGTAACATGTGTTTAGGTTGTAGGTTGAGACAAGTTAGTGAAACATGATAAGAAGTAAGACATCCTCTGAATATTACATTTTCCTTGAGGTTGAATCGACTTGGGATTGATTTCGATTCGAGTTATGGCGACCTACTGTTCTCAACTAAATCGATATTAATATTGTTATGTACGTAACTGCTTAACAATGTCTGTCTATTAAATTGGCGGTTACCAGTGAATCTCAATATGTAGGTATTCTTGGCAAATTATCCATGTATTGTACATAACGAGAGTGAGGATGTATAATGTATCTCGTTATTGCGATATCATGCACGGCGAAGCAGTCCGACACTTTAAACCCTCCAGATACTGTTTGCGCTAAACCACTGCATCGCGGTAGTGCTTTTGTAATGTATATTGTACACTTATAACTTAGTATGAAATTGTGTGTTGCCAAAAAACCTATGTTACGATAAGTATGTGGATACATAGTGGTAGTACTATTTTTTTTAACACAAATAATTGAGTTTTGTTATTATATTCATTTGCTTAATAATATTTTTCAGTAATAGTCTACTGTTGTATCTACTAAAAAAATGATTTGCCCTTGTAGAAATAAATACATATAAATGAAAATATATATATGTATTTATTTTTATAAGGGTAAACTGAATACAACTGGACCTATTTCGACTCTATCTCCCGTTATGAGCGTACAAAAATATATTTAGAAAATGCTAAGCCGTTAGTGCGCGGTGAATTCAGAAAGGGCTATCTGATTTACGCTGTTTCTGAAATTATCGCGTACAAATGGACATGACATCTTGAGAAAATACATATAGAAAACTACACTGGACTGTTTTATTGTATATCATTATATACAGTCAATATAGTTGTACAAATCTATCCGATAATAAAATGAGCGAAGATCGAAAACATTAACTACGTTAAATATCAATGTTTACATGTCTATTAAAAACATTTATTCGAAGTTATCTATCGTTTGACGCACGATTTTTGTACTGCGATAACCCTAGTGAGTATGCGACTTAAATGCAACTGACCCCTATGCTCCACTCAAGTACCCTTATCAACGGGAAATGTTTATATTGAGAATATCAAAAACAGCAAATTCTGTGAACATTTTGCTGACAATAATAAGTAAAGCGTAATATGTTTTACGTTTTCATAGTACATGGATGTTTTTATTTGTAATACATGTAACTAAAATGATAAACTTTTAGTATACGTACCTATATACATATGTATGTCTTACCTAAAATACCATTCGTTCATTCTCAAATGTAGTCTTTAGTACTAATTAACACTTACGATATACATTTCATATTTGTGTACTGCGGATACTAGATAATAATATCCAATAATAAAAAAAACACAATAAAATTAATTATATCATCATAGAACATACGGAGCTTCCGTCAGTCTACAAAAATTAAAGTCGAAGCTGTAATTCAATCAATACGTATGTGCTGAACAATATCGGGCAATGACTTGCATAAATCACCCAAACACTAAGTAGATAGAATACAAGAAAATTTATGAGTATAAGCCATTCTTTCGGAGTGGTGTGTGCTGATCAAGTAATGGATCGGAGGTCAGCCGTCGCGTCGCCGCCGCGTAGAAGCCGCGTAGCCGCGACGCCGCCGTTACGCGGTTTATCGACCCCTGAATGTAGGATAACGACATTTGTTACGACCAATCCGCATCATCTCTTTAGCGTTGTTTTGTGCAACAATGCATATGCTTAAAGAGATATCTTATTCGCAATTTACTACTATAAACTACAAGTTCATTGATGTCGTTCTTTTATACTTTCTGCCAGCTATTCGCCTATTAGGTATTTGAAATCAGAAGTGCACTGAATTATATATATATTTATAATAAATATCTTGTTTACAAAACAAATGCATGATTATAATATAAAAGGAAATATCGACAGGTACGTAGGATTAAAATACACAAACACGACGTGTCCATGTTCATTTTCATCAATTCAAAACCGCGAAATGTGATTACGTACGTGGCGTACAGCATAGTAATGGGTTTTATATTGAGTGTTTCAAAGAGGAGAAGAGAATATAGGATGAGTTCATTACTTGTTATATTTGTAGCATCCCCATTATTCTTTCTTTCTGTATATTTTCAACGTAATGACGTTGAAAATATACAACAATTAAAATTAAATACTATTGTATTCTAAAATATTACTAGTAGCATTTGCAAATTTGGATTATCGTCATAAAGGTAGATATATACGTCGACCAGATTGTGGAAAAGGCGCTGCGATAATAAAGTAAGTTTTTCATTTAGGTCACATGATTTTACTTTCATACGGCTCATAGATACTTTCGTTGTTTCAAACCAAGTTCTCAGAAATTTTACCAGAACTGCGGCTACATTCAAGTTCAGGCTTTTGAATGTTAAATAATTAAGCTCTAAGTCAGTAAGCAATATTAGGCAGTACGTATTACAGAGTCGGATTTCTTGGATATCTACTAGATTATTTATTGGAAGAGAATATAACATACTGTTACGAATGTTATCTAAGATGGGGTAATCAGAGGTAGATGATAAAAAATCGTCTACGTCGGTATATCTTAGTCTTATCTACATAATAATATGCATTTCTACAATAAATCAACCCGTTTTGTAAGTTGTATTTCAGTTGTTGGGTGAGATTAGCTAATGAAATTACAGTATAAGAGTCCTCTGAAATAGCAACGCATGAGTATGATATCACATGATAATGTAATTTCTGTGATACTATTCATATAGGTATATAAGCGATGAAGACAACTGAAACAAAAGGTAAGTTATCTTTAATATTATTAAAATTACATAAAAATAGGCATTGCCGACTATGAAGGTGTAGGATATATATGTAAATGCAACCTTTGACATGCCCAAATTTCGCCTGTTATATTTCTGAAAATTGTTTTTGTTACATACCTTATATTCCAGTCATGCTAACAGTTTTTACGTTAGTTTTATAGCACATTCACGAATTGATTTGCATTTTTAAAATCGTTTTGAACTCGTTTCAAATAAGTGTACTATGCTATTCTTGTCAAACAAATTCGTATATTTCTAATATTTTTTTCAGCTCATTCACATATCAAATCAATCAATCAAATGTTAATAGATAGAGTAATGGAATAATAGTATCAATTAAGAATAACCTAGATCGCTCTGATTTTTTTATATGTTATAAATGATGCAACGTTTGTATTTTAATAATAAACAATTTATCGGTCTACCACAACATGTATAGATTCTCAGAAGTCAATCTTCAACATCGTTTAAACTAAAGTTTCCGTTTCAGTTAGTCCCAAACATCTCACATTGAACTAAGCGGTTTAAGTTTGCCGCGTTCCGA